TCACTACAGGCCTTAGCTAAACAAAATAGAGATGTTTACCCATAATGCACAGCACCATAGTAGAAAAGGTAGCACTTTACAATAAGGTACACAAAGTTTGATTAACTACCAGGGAATGCCTCAGGAACGAATCAGGAACAAATCAGGAGCTAAAAGGTAGTTAACCAGTACTTACTGGGCAACACACAACCAAGCTTTATTAGGGGACTAACCTGGGAAACAAAGAGGAACTAATCAGGAACTAATGGGTAGTAACTATGGAAACCAAAGAGGAATGAATCAGGAGCTAATGAGTAGTTAACCAGTACTTACTGGGGAACACACAGCCAAATCTTATTAGGGGACTACTGGTTAGTTACCTTGTGAATGAAGAGGAACTAATCAAGAACTAATGGGTAGTTACCAAGGAAACCAAAGAGAAACACATCAGGAGCTAATGGGTAGTTAACCAGTACATACTGGGGAACACACAGCCAAGGTTTATTAGGGGACTACTGGTTTGTTACCACAGAAACAGAGGAGATATTCACCATTTGGCTTCTGAATAAACCCTGCACCAGTGAGATCACAGCTCGTACTTGTCAAAAAACTGTTTCCTAGTGATTACTGGTTTTACTGGATTCTTACCAGTAATCAGTGGTAAGAACTGATTTCATAATCTTGTACTGCTGTCATCTCAACTATGTCAGCTGTGACCTCACTGGTGCAGGGTTTATTCAGAATACACATGGATAATTTCTTCTCTGTTTCTGTGGTAACAAACTAGTAGACCCCTAATAAGGCATGGCTCTGTGTTCCCCAGTAAGTACTGGTTAACTTCCCATTAGCTCCTGAATCGTTCCTGAGGCATTCCCTAGTAGTTAATCAAATTTTGCGTACCTTATTGTAAAGTGTTTCCGTTGAAAACAAACAAACACATCATATCAGAACGAACATCTAATACTAACTGTCAACCTGGTGGTGGAGGGATGATGATTTGCAAGGCTATACTGGTGGCCTGGGGGCTAAATCAAGCCCACTGGTGAACTCAGTTTGGCCCACTAATGGGATCATTTAAAATGAAACTAGATTTTAATTCATAAAACAAACACAATGACAATGGGGCGGCTGTGGCTGAATGGGGCGGCTGTGGCTGAATGGTTAGAGCAGTTGTCCTCCAATGCAAGAGTTGGGGGTTCGAATCCACCAGCAGTCACATGCTGAAGTGTCCCTGGGCAAGACACTGAACCCCTCACTGCCTCTGATGTGTGTCCCATCAGTGTATGAATGTGATAAAGCACTGATTAGTCTCTTTAGAATAATTTGTTCAATTACCTTTGTAGAGATCTAGTAGAGTGCTGTATGAATGGGTAAATGAGGACACAGATTGTAGTGTAAAGCGCTTTGAGTATCTTGAAATAAGATAGAAAGGCGCTATATAAGTACAGTCCATTTACCATTTACCATTTACAATAACTACTGGATGTCCAGTCCCTGAACTCTTGGCTTTAACTGTGGCCCCCTGAGCAGTTTAATTGAATAGCCCTAATTTAGGGTTATTGTGCAGCCACAGGATCTGCGTACCTGTCAGTCATTGAGCCACTCATGAACTCCTCTGTAGACCAAAGGATTTTAGAGTCAAATACGAGAGCATCTGTCTGACTGCAGAAGATTGAAACAAACTTGGTCAGAATACAACAGAACAGTAATCTCCATCACAGCAGCACATCTACAACAGTACAGCTGGAAATGAGAAGAATCAAGATGCTGCAACGGTCCAGACATTGGACCTGACTGAAATGCTGTGGTGGGACCTCAGAGAGCTGTAAAGAAACAAAAATATCTGCAAACATCAACGAATTGAAGCAACGTTGTAAAAAAGAGCGAGTTAAAATTCTTACACAGTGACAAGGGAGACTGACAAAGTCACAGAAAACAAATACATTTACTACTGCTAAAGAGGTTCTACAGGCTGTTAAATAATGGGGTGGGCACACACACCTTACCATTTTGACAACGTTTTTGTTTACCGGTACTAAATAATGTCACGCTAGAATCTGTTGTGTGTTTTGTACACTTGAGGTTAGATTTGGATGCCTGGTAAAGACCAGATCAGTATTTTATTATAAAACCCTTGAATTGAAAAACTGGACATTCTTTTTTCCCATGACTGTAGTATATCAGCTGATGCTGGTGAAGATTCTCAGTCATCCAGGACATGATGAATTCAAAAAGCGTTCAATACAAAAACAACTGGACTTTATTTGTAACAGAAGACGTTTCGCTCCTCATCCGAGGAGCTTTCTCAATTCAAAGAGCAGAAAGTGAGAGATACAGGTTATAAGGCTGAGTGAGATAAGACACACACACACACATATATGTATATTGGCAGTTCACACCTAAAACCTAAAACAGTAGGTCTTTGTTCCTCTAATTCACAGTCGAGGCCCCTCTGTTCCCATCAGGTGTGAAAACCGGCTGGGAATCTGTTTTAAAGTTGCATTATATGTTTTGAAAGTGGGAATCTGAGGCCTCCTCCTCTGTTGAGAGATGGTTTTTCTCTTTTTACATAAATTGCTTCCTTCACCCCCCTCTCAAACCATCTGTGTTCTCGGTCCAAAATGTGCACATTTTGGTCCTCAAAAGAGTGTCCCTTATCTGTGAGATGGAGGTGAACAGCTGAGTCTTGTCCTGTGGAGCTGGCTCTCCTGTGTTGAGTCATGCGTCTGTGAAGAGGCTGTTTAGTTTCTCCAATGTAGAGGTCTGGACAGTCCTCGCTGCACTGGACCGCATACACTACACCACTCTGTTGGTGTATGGGTGTCTTGTCCTTAGGGTGGACCAGCCTCTGTCTGAGAGTTCTGCTGGGTTTGAAATGTACTGGGATGTTGTGTTTGTTGAAGATCCTTCTGAATTTCTCTGATACTCCAGCAACATAAGGGATGACAATGTTTTTACGTCTGTTGTTCTCCTTTTTCAGTTTATTGGTGTGTTTTGTAGATTTCCTCGCTGACTTGACAAAAGCCCAGTTAGGATATCCACATGTTAGAAGAGCTTCTTGAACGTGTTTCAGTTCCTTTTCCTTCCCTTCTGTCCTTGTGGGGACGCATTCGGCCCGATGTTGTAAAGTTCTGATGACAGAGAGTTTGTGTTCCAGTGGATGGTGGGAGTCAAACAGAAGATACTGGTCTGTGTGGGTTGGTTTCCTGTACACTTCAATGTTGAGGCTGTCCTCTCTCTCCATCTGAACCAAACAGTCCAAAAAAGGCAAGTTGTTGTTGTTTGCATCCTCTCTGGTGAACTTGATGTTGTTATCGACCGAGTTAATGTGTCTGGTGAACGCTTCTATTTCCTTGGCTTGGATTTTGACCCAGGTGTCATCCACATAACGGAACCAATGGCTTGGCTTAGTTCCCTCATAGGAGTGTAGGGCTCTCTGTTCCACTTCCTCCATGTAGAGATTGGCAACAATGGGTGACACTGGAGATCCCATGGCACAGCCGTGCTTCTGTCTGTAAAAACTGTCATTGAACTTGAAATAAGTGGTGGAGAGGCAGAGGTCCAACAGGGTGCAGATCTGGTCCGGGGTGAAGTTGGTCCTGTTGATTAAGTCCTTGTCTTGTAGAAGTTGTTTTCTGACGGTTTCTACTGCTTCAGAGATGGGTATGCATGTGAAAAGAGAAGTCACATCATACGATACAAGGGTTTCTCCTGGGGTTAGTTTCAAGTGTTGAACTTTGTTAGCAAAATCAATGGAGTTCTTTATGTGATGAGGTGTGTTTCCAACAAGAGGAGCTAAAATATCAGCCAGATATTTAGCAATATTGTATGTCACTGAGTACATGCTGCTGACGATGGGTCTGAGTGGTGTTCCTTCTTTGTGTATTTTTGGGAGTCCATAAAGACAGGGAGTGGCTTCCCCTGGGTACAATCTATAATACAAAGATCGATTGATTGTTTTCTCCTTTTCAAGTTTTTGCAGGTAATCCGTGACTTTCTTTTTGTAGGCACTGGTTGGGTCCCTCTTCAGGGTCTCGTAGGTGTTACGGTCGCTCAGTAGTGTAGTTATTTTTTCCGGTAATCAGAAGTGTTGAGGACTACTGTGCATCTTCCTTTATCAGCTGGTAAAATGGTGATGTTTTGGTCCTGGCTGAGTGATGTTACAGCTTTCCTTTCCTGTGGTGTGAGGTTTGAAGGAGGCGGTTTGGCACTGGAGATGGTTGCTGATATTTCCATTCTGAGCTGTTCTGCCTCTCCTTCCATCAAGTTGTTGTTCCTAATCGCGGATTCAGTGGCCGTGATTAGTTCCACAACAGGTATTTCTTGAGGGGAGATGGCAAAATTTAGTCCTTTTGCCAGCACGTTTTTCTCAGGTTGTGTCAATGTCCTGTTAGACAAATTTCTAACCCACTGGTCCTGAAAATTAGTGTTGGCAACAAAATCCTGATCTTGACTGATGGTTTGTGATGAGAAAACCGCTCTCTGTTGTAATTTTAGAAACTTACTTTTTTGACGTTCCTTGCTCTTTTGATGTTGTGATAGCTGGGCCTTTTCAACGAAACAAGAAACTTCTTCCAACAGAGGAAATGGTAGCAGAGTAGACAGCTTCTGGAGGGTCTGATCCATTTTGAGTGAGAGAGCTTCAATGGTGAAGTGTATCTGTCTTATTCTCTCACTGAGCAGCTTGTTTTGAGCTTTCAGGAGTATTCCTTCTGCTCTATGTCCTTTGATCGAGGAGTTGAGTTTCAAACTGCTTTATTTGTAACAGAACGTCTTCTGTTACAAATAAAGTCCAGTTGTTTTTGTATTGAACGCTTTTTGAATATATCAGCTGATGTTACTTGCTCACTTACTCAGAGTCAGAATGCAGGTTGATGTTTTAATCTATTGTGTGACGATGCAAAACAATAAGTTAAAACAAATACTTTATGTTCAATGTACTGCTGCTTGTTTTATTTGTTCGACGATGCCCATATACTCTATGTTCACAGCAGAGAGCCACAGACAACATCGGACCCCTCTCAACATGCCTGGCCCTTGGACCGTTCCCAGCCCGGTCTTGGAGTGGCTTTCACCTTGTACTTGACTGGCTGGAGGACCACACCAAACTTTCCCTCCAGACTGGGAAGAGAGTGGTTTGGTGGGACAGACAGAGTAAAGCGCTGTAGGATCCAGGACAAAAAGAGGAACAACTCCATTTTGGCCAAAGCCTCACCCAAACACACCCGAATCCCAGTACCAAATGGCAAATAGCTGGATGATGGGATGGTCAGACCTGTGCCTTCGCTGTTCAAAAACCGACCTGAGGAGTGAAAACAGAAGGATTCATCTGATGAGCAGTAGCGCTAACGCACAACTTTCACAGAGCTTACATAGTTTCACAGAATTTACACAAATTTACTAAAGATTGGTTTATTGCAGCTGTGTAGCTATCACCGTTTATAGCCCACTACCATGAAAGGCAGGCAGTCATGCAACTGCACGTGTATGCTAATTTGTCTATTAGTAAAATATCTTGTGAACCACTGAAAAGGTTTTATTAAAACTCCTAAAAAGCAGTTCATGTATATACATTTATAAATAACTTTTAAGTTAAAACTGATAAAAAAATGGCTACTTCAGCTAACTGACTTTAGCAAACACAAAAATGACTATCCAATGTTCCCTCTAATTTTTCATGTGTCTGGGCAAACACACAAGCTCCTTGAGCGCACGGAGGACCACTGTGAACAACATCAAATGTGCACGCTGTGATCACACACCAGTATCACACCTGTTCAAAACCTGGGGTCATAGCAAGTTGCATGGCTTATTAAAAGAATCAAATTACAACAGCAATTTCCAGTAGTTTACTTTTAATAGAAGTAATTAGGCAAACTTCAAAATGAAAAAGACAGTAATCTTTGTTTTTCATGAGATGTGTAGTATTTTAAATATGAGAGTCCTGCTTTGGTCTGTGTGAGGGTCCTACTCTGGAAGATGGATAGCAGCACATTGACCATTGGTGTGAGAAGCATATTTGTAACCCCCAGACACACTGGTCCCCCCACCAGTGTGTCTGGGGGTCCTCCCCCAAACACACTGGTCCCCCCCATCAGTGTGTCTGGGGGTCCTTCCACAGAAAATGTTGAATAAAGTAGATGCCATTTCAAGGATTCAAGGTTCTTTATTTGTCATACACACCACATGTGTTACATGTGGTGGAACGAAATTGTGTACACAGGGTCCCAGTTACATCCAACAAAAGTATTAAATGTAAACGTAAAACAGTAATAAGATCTAAGATATGAATGATGAAAAACATTAAAAATACACTAATCACTAGTAGTACAAAAAAACAATACGCCAAACAGCAGCACGAACACGAGTCTGTGTGAGCAGATGAGTACGAATGAACACAGCAACATGATGTGATTTTTTTAGAGATTCATGAGTCTAACAGCCTCAGGGTAGAAGCTGTTCCTCAGTTTAGTTGTTCTACACTTAATGCTCCTCAACCTCCTTCTTGAAGGGAGCGGGGCAAAAAATGTGTGTACTGGGTGAATGGGGTCCTTCATGATGCAGGAGGCCTTCTTCTTGCATCTGGAGGTGTAGATGTCTGTGATGGTGGGGAGACTGACTCCAACAGACTTTTGTGCAGCCTTCACCACTCTCTGCAAAGCTTTTCTTTTCTTCTCTTCTTCCTTCCTGTATTCTGGTGTATTTTAATGGGTTGTTAAAGATCTAGTTTTACCAACATGAGTAAACACTTGATTAAATAACCATTTTAGAGTTAATGGCACAACAAGATGTAGCCTGACTAACAGCTCTCCTTGTGTGAATAGAGCACGCTTCACTTCTCTCACGTATCCTAGCCAGAGTGGAGGGGTTTACTGAGCGGAATTTTCCCTCGGTACCCCCCCTGAGCCAAGCCTGGCCGAAACTTTCAGAGCAAAAGTGTCCAGGTTGGACCAGCATCCAGTTCCTCTGGGGAAGCACGACCAGACGGTGACGTCACTCTCCAACCGAGCTCACCAGTGTGCGTTCCAGGTGGCCGCAGCGAACAACAATGTCGCTTTGCTAGCCTACAGCATCTCAAAGAAGCTGGAGGAAACATACTTGCCTGAGGAGACAAAGAGCTCAATCTGCAAGGTATATGATGTCATCATCAACCTGTGCGCTTCCTCTGCTGTCTGCCTGTCTTGCATCGTCACCTGGATGACAATGATCCAGCGGTCCACCTGGCTCCGACACTCCCCCTCCCTGCCGGAGAAACTGCAAAAAGACCTGCTGGAGGGCCCCATCATGACGGACGCGTTGTTCGGAGCCAATTTCAGGGCCATGCTAGAAAAATCGAAGAAGTCGGAGGAGGTGTCGGAGACTGTGCACCACCTGATGAAGCCACACTCCCCCCCCCCCCCCCCCCCGCCCGCTGGAGGGATCGTCGTGACCAGAGACAGCAGCAGAGACGCTCCACAGCTACAGCAGCGTCCTCCCACCAGAGAACAGCCCTTCTCATCCCGGCAACCAGCCGCTCAGTGTCTCCCCAGAGATCGCCAACAGGCACCGCCCTGGAACAACCAGCCGCAGGGCTCACGGGGGAGAAGATTTAAGAAATGACTCCTTGCGGAGGATGTGTGTGTGCATAATGATGACTTGAGTTTTGAAATAAAACGAAAGCATCATTCAGTGAAAAAAGTGTCTGATTTCAGCCTGACTGGCAGTTCGAATGATCTCACTGCGACTTCTCTACGCACATCCTCCACACAAAAAAAGCCAGTGTCCTCAAACAGGTTTTTAAAAAGTCACCGCAGCTCGAGAAAACACACACAATGCCCGCTGGACACAGCAGCAAAAATTGAATTTTTTCGCTCTCAGCCCAGGGTGTGTTCTGCCCCTTCTGACCACAGCGGAGATAAACGCGTGTCCCCACGGTGGCGACAGCCCCCACCCAAGCGGCGTTGCATTGCTCAGGGCACGCATGCCTCCCCTCAGCGCACATCAGCTCACATCAGTTCTGATGTGAGCCCACAGCCTGAGCGCGGCACAGAGGCTTTTGACTTGACTGATGTCCGTAAAAGTCATGACGCATCACAAAGACGCGTGCCCGCTCCCAGAGCGTTACGCAGAGTGGCAGCGAGCGTGCTCCCTGAACAACATTCCAATCATTCCAAAATGCAAAAAGTTCCTGTGCTTCTCCTTTAAAGGGACCTAGTATCAGCACAACCTGGGCTTTGCCATAAACTAGGAGAAGGGCTCGGTTCTTCCAGCCCAGATGATCGTTTATCTGGGAGTAGAGCTAAACTCAGTCTCTATGAGGGCTCGTTTATCACAGACAAAAACCGAAGCTCCAAAAGACCAGCTCCGCCACGTAAAACTGGGCAGAGTAATGACAGCTGTTTCCATCATGAAACTGTTGGGAACAATGTCGTCAACTCACACGATGGCTCCGTTGGTTTTACTCCACATAAGACACCGCCAGAGATGGTCCGCTCACCTGGGCATAGATCTGGTAAGGCAAGAGAGGCGGATGATGTTTGTACCCCCCTCCGTGGGAATCGACCTGAGACACTGGGAAAATCCCCTCACTCTGTCGGAGGGAACCCCTATCAGCAGACCTACGTCACACGTCTCAGTTTTCACAGACGCGTACCTGTCAGGTTGGGGAGGAACGTGCCCATCTCGGACTGTGGGGGCGCTGTGGCCACATCACACAGCTGCTCATATAAATGTTTTGGAATGCCACACGGCTTTGAATGTGATTCAACTTTTTGTTCCGGTGTCGCAGAATCAACACGTTCTGATTCACACAGTCAACAAAGTGTCTGCAGCGTACATAAACCGGCAGGGGGGCGTGTGCTCAGCCCAAATGTTATACATTGCGAGGCAGCTGCTGTGTTGGGCACACAAAAACCTACTCTCCATCAGAACAGTGTACATTCCCGGCGTCCTAAACAGAGGAGCGGATATAATGTCCAGGGGCAGTCCGCGTCACAGGGACTGGAGCCTCCATCCCGAGCTGATGTCTCAGACGTGGGAGAAATTTGGCACAGTGGCAGGGGACCTGTTTGCCTCATGGGAGAACGCCCAGTGCCAACTGTGGTTCTCACTGAGCCCATGGGACAAACCACCGTTAGGAGTGGACGCGTTTGCCCACAGCCCGTGGCCCAAAATGCTCTTTTACGCTTTTCCCCCAGTCCCTCTAATATCACGGTTTCTGAACCAAGCTCGGGAGGAAGAATTGTCAGCCTTTCTGATAGCCCCCGAGCGCGTGAGCGCCCCATGGGCTCCAATCCTGCGATGTCTGTTATCGGGTCACCTGTGAAAACTGCCGTAGAGGAAAGACGCTCTCCTCCAGGCGGGGGGAGTGATCAGGAGTTACCCAGAAATAGGTCAGTACCTTTGGGTCTGGCCGCTGAGCGGATCCACTTAGAGAGGATGGGTCTCTCTCTCAAGATGTAGTGTGCACGATCCAGGATTCACGTGCTGCCTCCACCACAGCGCTGTACACATCAAAGTGGACAGCTTTTCAGTGCTGGTGTACTGAGAAGGGTGTAGAGGCCACCTCATGTCCACTAGGTGGCGTGCTATCCTTTCTGCAGCAGCTGATGGACAGAAATCTGGCATTCAGCACAATTAAAACATATGCTGCAACGATTTCTTCCTGTCACGAAGGCTTCGGTGACAGAACAGTTTTTAATCACCCACTGATGAAGCGTTTTCTAAAAGGTGTACAGAGGCACAGACCTGTGTCACGCCCATAACTCCTCAGTGGGACTTAACGATGGTTCTGCAGGCCCTGATAAAAGCTCCTTTTGAGCTGTTAGATCAGGTTTTGATTAAATTCTTGTCACTTAAAACAGCCCTGCTGCTGGCCTTGACATCTGCAAAGAGAGTGAGTGATTTATCTGCTCTCTCTGTTGCTCCATCATGCCTCAGAATTTAGGTTGACGGCAGTTTAGCTGATCTGAGACCTAACCCAGCGTTTATGCCTAAAAACATCACAAGCTCATTTAAATAGAGAATGATAACGTTGGAGGATTTTTTCCCTCCTCCCCACAAATCAGAAAAAGAAGCATCTTTTCATCTCCTCTGCCCTGTGCGTACATTGGCATGTTATGTAACATGCACGGCTACACTGCGTCAGACTCAACAGTTGTTTGTGCATTATAGAGACGCCTCTGTAGGTCGCCCATTATCCACCCAGCGCCTGTCACACTGGCTGTGTGAGGCCATTTCTGAAGTTTGCAGAGCATCAGGTTTAGAGACCCCTGACAACCTCAGGGCGCACTCGACCAGAGGAATCGCATCCTCGACAGCCTT